CTCTACAGGGACGTCATGCAGGAGAACTACGAGGCGGTGACCTCGCTGGGTAAGGGCGTCCTGGCCCCTCGGGGATTAGGAGCCGTGGGGTCTGCGTGTCCGACACGGGTCAGGTTCTTCCCTGCTCAGGTGGCCTGGACAGGAATGGGTTCCATGGGCACAGCTGCCGGGGGAGAGCGACTTGCATCTCCGCACCCTGTGCAGTGAGACCCGGGTGTCAAACCCTAATGGACGTGCTAAATCATCCCCACCTGGCCCCTCTAGATTTCAAGGTGGAGGGGCCATGTATCCTCCTGTCTGGGTTGTTTCTCACTCGCACCCAGAATCCCTGTTCCACTCCCTCCTTGGGACGCGCTGCAGCCGTGGAGAGGGCTCTGGGCTCTGCAGGTTTAGAAACAGGCAGGGGTGTAACTGCAGAGCTGTGAGTGTCAGCAAGGGCCCCAGACTGCCCAGATCCTGGGAACTCCTAGTGAGGGCGTCACAATTCCTCTCACCTCCCCACACGTCTGCCTCTCCCCAGGGGGCTCAGTGACCATGTTCCCATCCTCTTGGATTGCACATTCCCCAGCAGAGCCCGGGGACAGGTTCCACTCACGGAATGTCCCTTGGGACAGACGCTCTCCCCACCCTCCATGCGCCCTGATCTGCTCTGATTTCACCCCCTGCGCAGGGTTTCCCGTTCCCAAACCTGAGCTGATCGCCCGGCTGGAACGAGGGGAAGAGCCCTGGGTGCCCGACCTCCAGGCCGGGGAGGAAAGAGAGATCCTGAGAGGCACCTACAGAGGTGAGGACTGACACACAAAATATTGGGTGAATGAAGGAAAAATTTGAGAACCTCAAAAATGAGGTGTTGGTAATTGACCTTGTTCCTTCCTCTTCTCATAGTTTCCCACCAGGCCTGTTACCTGCAGTAGTTCCCGTCCCATGTTTCCTTCCCCATGAGTGTTTGTGTGGGACATGGAGGAACAATCCAAATATTTGGTCTGTGCAACTTCAGTGTGTTGGGTTCACCTTTGGTGCTGTTCCTCTTTCTCCCCAGCTCAATGACTCCTGCCTGAATTGTCTCTCTTTCACAGCAGGTGTTCAGACAGTGCATATAAAGGAGGAAGAGTCTCAAGATGAGGAAGATTCAGGGGAGATGGAACCGCAGGCGACCTTTGTGGGAAGAGCTGAAGGGAATGTTTCCCAGTGCCTGGAACAGGGAGACGCCTGGGGAAACTGGCCCAGACCGGAGAGGCTTCTGGGACATTACTCAACTGAGCAAATGGATGAATCTGTTAAATGCGGAGAAGGACACAAGGATCCCACCGCCCAGCAGACAAACCTCAAGGAAGAGAAACACCAGGAATGGCTCGGTTATGGGAAGGGATTTTTTGTGAGCCCAGAGCTTATTACAATGCAGACAGTGGATACCGGTGAGTAACCCCGTCAACGCTTGGACTGTGGGGAAAGCATCAATAACAGCTCCAATGTTAATACTCACGGAAGAGAGGGGCTGTCAATGCCTTGAGGGCGGGAACTGTTTGACTTGGAAGTCAGTCCTCATTGTGCATGAGACATGTCACAGAGAGAGACCTCATAAGTGCTTAGACTGGGGTGAAACTTTCAGAGAGATGTCAGCCCCGGTTAAACACCAGGCCATGCACACAGGAGAGAAACCCTGTCTGTGTTTAGATTGTGATGAAAGTTTCATGTGGAGGTCGCTCCTTGTTGTACATCTGAAATCCACACAGGAAAGAGACCCCATAAGTGCTCAGATCATGCACAATTCGAGTGTTGGTATAGAAGGGTATAGCTGGCTCAGGACGCATAGGGTATAAATGGGCTTAAACTGCAGCAAGAGACGGTTAACATGGACGTGAGGGAAAGCTTCCTACCTGTCAGGGTGGTTAAACACTGGAATAAATTGCCTAGGGAGGTTGTGGAATCTCCATCCCTGGAGATATTTAAGAGCAGGTTAGACAGACATCTCTCAGGGATGATCTAGACAGTGCTTGGTCCTGCCGTGCGGGCAGGGGGCTAGACTCGATGACCTCTCGAGGTTCCTTCCAGTTCTAGTGTTCTCTGACTCTATATAGAATCTCCTCCCCCACCAGTGGTGTGTCAGCAGTCGTGTGTGTGAGAGAGACAGAGACCACCCTGGCCTGCAGAGGAAGAGAGAGAGAGAGAGAGAGAGAGAGTGTGTGAGTGTGAGAGAGAGAGAGAAAGAGATCACCCTGTTGTGTGTGTATATGTGTGAATAACAAAATCATTTTACCAATCACTGTTTCCACTCAAATTTTGCCTTAATCTCTCATATCCACACTCATTGCATGTTTTGAACTTCTTCATATTTAAGAAAATTGCAGCCCGCAAAAAAAACCCCGGAATTCCCATGTAAGGGCCTGTCTTGAGTAAAAATACCTTGCAAGTCTATTACGAGTCCACTGTCAAGGACATGATCAGAAAACAACTCGTCCACACCTAATAAACTCTCTGTGGGCAAAAGGTTCAAGGCAACCTCAAAATCTAAAGAAAGCTCAGGTGCTACATAGATTCAAAATCCCAGTTCCTTTCCCGTCTAACCTTGGAGGTGCCCCGAGTCCAAACTTTGGCAGATAAAGTTCTCAAGTACCTACATTTGTGCAACTGCACCTCCAGCACGCCAGCCCTTTGCTCTGAACCCCCCCCCCCCCCCCCCCCCCCCCCC